GGACATCCCTATGGGTGACCAGCTTCTCATCTTCTGTAACATGACTTGACCCTTGATCAGTCTCCAGCACTAGGGGAGAAGATGCTTTAGTGACTGGACTCACAGGCAGACAGACCGATACTAGGAAATTCGGTAACAGGTAATTATGTCTTTTGTCTCGTGAGATGAGTTAGTCAAGATATCCACCCTAAAATGATGACAGACACAATAATAAAGAACAAGATGGGGTGTTAACGAAACAGTGCCTAATTAAGCCATCAGGGCGAGCCCTGTGCCTTGGGAGATCCAGTTCAGCAACTTCTCAGTCACACCAAGACATGAAATCCAGGAGTGCAATAGTTTCCTCAGATGGTTTTCTCTGTGCACAAAAGTTCAAAGTACAGAATGGAGAAAAATCAAAGAGTATTCATACAGACATGCGGTTAAGGTCAGACTGAACATTTCACAGCCTGAGCTGAGGTCCTCTGCAGTGGTCTTCACTCCTAAAACAATGATCCTTCTTTTCATACTGAAGGAATACAGCTTCAGGACCCTTTGAAATACTGCCACAGTCATCTCAGTGATAAACCAGATAAAGCTGACAACTACAGACCTCCATTCGGAGCTGCTAGCATAACTGTTGCATATCTCCCAGGGCATCTTAGATTTTGAGGCATTTAATTACCTGATCAGCATTTACTGATGGGCTGATAGCCAAGCTGTGTGGGAGCTGGAATAGCATTTTCTCTCTAGGAAGGAGGGGCTCGGGCCAGTATTTTTCTCACCTGTGGTTTTATGCTCCCTAGAATTAGTGGTACAACTTCAGTATTGACTTGGAGCTGAGCTGGGCTCCATCAGGTGAGAGTTGAGGAGTTGCTTAGCTCCACGTTCACTGTAAGGCCAACTTACTCAGTGCACGTTTCTCCCGTAGTTTCCCAAAGTTTCAGTAAGGCAGGTTTCACTGCATATGGCATTTGCTCTAAAAATAGTCTTTGTGCAATTCACATGGAAGGGGAAAGCAATTACACCGCTACTATGGGAAAAACACTCACTCCCTTTCCACGGGCTGACTTCAGAGCCTCTTCGATGATAATTACCATCGTCTTTCTGCTGAGGTTGCTGACATGGAGGTGAAGTGACCTCCCCGTGTCTCTCCAGACCTGGACCCAAACCAGTGTTTAAGGTCAGGATGGCCCCACCTTCTGATTTCCAGACAGGGTTCAGGTCGTCTCCCTTTCAGCTATGGAAAGTGCTTTCCTTAATCACTTGATGTTGCAAGTTGAGGCTGGAAACTGGACTCTGAAATAGTCCAGAAACCTCACAGCTTGCTTAAATAAAAAACAGTGTCTCGACACAGAGAGACACTGCTTTTATTTAAGCACAGAAACATTTCAACAAGCTGCCTCCACATGCTGCACAAGTCCTACGTGCCCTCTTTCTCTCAGGTGTTCTAATTGAAGGGCATAACAAAGGTTAGTGAAGCTCTGACCTGAAGATACATATTAATGTATGTTGCACAAATACTCACATACAATGTTTGAGCTGATGAAATGCACAGTCTCCTTTCATACCCAGGTGCTCTGTTGTCTTCAAGCCAGTAAGTGCAACGATTAAAAACCACTTTATTATGAGTCTGAGCTTATTCTATCTTCCTGCTTTGAAGTGCTGTATTTCAGGACCCTATGTCAGCAGAAGGGCTAGTTTGATAACCACAAAGCATGATACTACCTAGAAAGCAGACAGGCAGGTTCTCCACTGCTGGAAAGTGCTCTAGTTCCTGCCTTCAGCAGAGCTATGACTGCAATTTGTACCAGCAGAGCAGCAGGCAAGGCCTGAGTCAGGGTTAGGTCTTGGGCTGGAATATTTCCCTCACTAGCAAAGGCTGGTGATTGAAACTAAGCAGCTTCCAGAGCCAAGAAGGGCCCCACCTGCCATGAGGCAAGAAAGGAAGTTGCACAGGTGAAGTCACAATATAGGAGAAGACGTGGTCTAAAATTCAGGTGTTCTGAACTTCAGTTGCCACACAATTATTAATAGAGGAAGTTACACCACAGCTAGAAACAGCTTCTTACATTTGCACCCCAGGAATCCCAACTGGTGACAGGTACCAGCTCAGCCTGTTGCAATGATAGCATCTGCAGTGCATGCTCTGATAAGAGCTCTGGTAAAATGGTGGAGAGAGGACAAAGATAGTCTCAGGACAGCCAAACATGATGAAATTCACCTCTGTGTAGGACATGTGGTCTCCACTGCTGAAAATAATCCAACCATCAGAAATGAGGACAGTTTGACTTGCATACTGATAGCTCCCTGAGATTTTGAGGATAAAAGTCAGTGAGCTATTTTCACTCAATGAACTTGTTTTACAGTGAATAATGCTTAGCGAACAAGCTGCATAAACTACAAGCTCCCTAAATTTCACATGTAGATTGAAGTATCTCTTCAAATGCCATTTTGGCACCCAAATGAGACCAGTGTCCAAATCCCATTTGGGTGTGATAAATCTTGTATATTATTTAAAAAATCCCTTTTCACATAATACATGGAGATAAACTCAGTTCCCTTTTCTGTCACATGTAGGTGAGTGGGATCTGCATCTTCTGTGTGATGGACAATAACATGCGTTCAAAACTGTTTGTTCTAAAATGAAAGAAGAATGGAATCTATGAAGATCTTTATGGGGAAAAAAAATAAAAACAACCCTTATGAGTTTATAGAATCTTAAGAAAGTCACTTTAGAGAATTCATTGATGAAAAGCAGGTGAGAAAATTACAGATTAGCCCCCCTATCTTAAACTATGAATACAATCCTAAGAAGTGGGGGAATTAGGTGAAATTAAATGACTCATGCATGGTTTGAAGCGGAACCATGCTGGCTGACACCACACCAAGATTCCTGATCTCCATGGGGTCTGCAATGAATGTATTGACCTAAGGGTTTGAACTTTATTCACCCAGAATTTTTTTGTTAAATCAGACTAGTCAGAACAGGGAATAAAACACATTCTGCACCAAAAGGCTTTCTTCACAGTGCCTACGTGTAAAACAAGTCTGTGGAGGAAATGCACAACGGCAGTTGTGAAAGAATGAGCTCATTACCTAGGAGGACTCATTCCCAGAAGGCAGGGCTTTGAAACCATATAAAAGTTCTCAAATCTCTGTGCTGCACCATCCACTCGACTTCGTGCTTCTCCCTGTTGACTGGTTGGGTAAGTCAGAGAATACTGATACTCTTTTGTGATGTCTATAATTTTACTGCTTGGCTTAGTGTAGGCAGACTCTTTAAAGAAATATTTTATTTGATACCTTTGAATATGCACAAGAGACCTTCAAAGAAGAGAAACTGTGGGCATTGGGGTAGGACAAGGATCCTTGGAATGACTCTGCAAGGCAAATTCAGATTGTATGTAAATGTGAGGATAGTTAAGTGCTAAATTAAAACCTTTCTGAAGAAGAGATTAGATAAAATATGTTGGTTTAAGTATAATTGATGCGGTCTTCAGGCATGGAGAGGGTCTGAATGGCCCCTTAAAAGCTCCTTCCAAAACTGTTCTCTGCAATTCTGCTGTTTATAACAAGACTTCTACTAAAACGCCAGTTTCATTGAAGAATTATTTTGTAAAAGATAGATTTGGGAGTATGAGAGGCTGTAGGGAGTAGAAGGGTGAAAGTACTCCTAGTGTGGTGTCTCATTCATGTTAACCATATCAAGAACAACATATTAACTTGGCTTAATATCTTATCAGATCTTTATAAAGAAAATACTAAGAGACAAGTGATATTGATTGGGAGGATCCGGGAAGATGCAGAAGAGAGGAATTAATTTGCTTTGAAGATGTGTTAAGAGGAGTAGGCAACATGAGGAAGGGAGAATGAACTTGCACACTCTTATGTGATCTGTGTTGCTGACAGTCCTGCATTGAGGGGACTAAAAAATGCCCCTTCCAAGAAACACTTCTGAGATTCTAAACTTATTTGTGCCCTTAGCTTGTTTTTATAAAAACAGCAACACGAGCTTTACCAAAGACACAACAGGAGCTCAGCTGAGCCTGGTGCCTACCTTCAGTAGCCCACAAAACAAGGGCAGTTTCATAAATCGTTAGGAAAACCCATTTGGCCTGTTGCACGTTACTGGCCTTGGGAGAAGAAATCCCTCTTGATTATTCTGATTCACACAAGCTTCATGTATTATTAGTGGCCATGATAATCCACACACATAAGGAGGCATTACCACTGCTAATTCTTTCCATGACAGCTGGAAGAACTGTGCCACAGGTAAGCTCCATCCATTATATCACAGATGAAGTCAGAGTGAAACCAGAGCAAGAGGAGGAGTTGGCCTACTGTTACTGCAAAGATTCTTTATACTACAGAAAGCTATTCAGCTTGTTGGTGAGGTCCACCTTGAGGACTTAGCACCTCAGTTCTCTAATTCCAAGTAAAATCTGGAAACCATTTTAAAAGGGGCAAAAGCAAAGGAAATGTTTCAGTTTTGCCAATGTGAAATATTCTATTGGGCCCAGGTTAATATTTTTCTACTTTTTGATAGACTAAACCTTTTTAAATGCCTGTATTCAGCATTCATTTTATTATTATTATTATTATGACTTTCTGAAACCACTTTCAAAATCAACAGATCTGTTATTTGCCAGCCTTTCTCATTAATTCCTCAGGACACCTTGAGAAGTGTGAAGCAACAGGAAAAAGAGCTCTGAAGTGTAAATCAACTCCAAGATAAAAGGAGTAGTTCTACCACAGTTAGACTTGATAGGGCTTTCCCACATTGCAGAATAGAAAGGAGGGACAAGATGAAACAGTCAGAACAGGAGCTGAAAGGCAAGATGAAAAAGAAAGAGCAAATCATTAGTCTTTTGAGCAAACCTGCCTTGGGAAACCAAAAGCAAGCTAAGAGAACTTTATGCTTGCAGCTGATTCAATTTTTCTTAACAGTTCTTTCACCCTTATCACAATGCAGCTCATTTGTGAGACACAATAACACTCTGACATTTCTTTCAGATAATCTTGTTTTCTGCAAAGATGTCTTTGAATCAAATGCAAATTAAGCAGGAAATCCTGCTCCCACCTGGCCTGAGCAAGACAATTCCAAAGCACAGCCAAGACCCTGTGCCATGCAGTGATCCAGTCCCACATCCACAGCAAGAGCCTGAAGTCCAAGTCCCAGCACCTTGCCCAGAGCCAGTTCCAGTAGAAGTGGTACCAGAAAAAGAAGTGCCATTGCCAGCACCAGTGGTGGAACCAGGCAAGGGAGAAGCACCAGTGATAGTAATACCCAAGAGTCCCCTTCAGGAACAACAGCAGCAACAGCAATGCAAGCTACCACCGACTTTCCCACCTGTATCGCACCCTGAGCCTGTTCCACACCCTGAAGAGAAATCAGAGTGCAAAGAGCTACCTGTGCCAGCCCCTGTTTCCAGCTGTAAACCAACTCCACATGTGCTGGAGAAGCAGGAGCGCAAGGAGATCCCTGTGCCAGTTCCTGTTTCACACCCTGAACCTGCACCATGTCCCCAGGAGAAGCAGGAATGCAAGGAGATCCCAGTGTCAATCCCTGCTCCATGCCCTGAACCTGCACCACACCCCCAGGAGAAGCAGGAGTGCAAGGAGATCCCTGTGCCCACCCCACACCCTCCAGAGAAACAGGAGCAGAGGGACACCCCTGTGCCAATCCCTGAACCCACACCGTGTGCTCAAGAAAAGCAACAGCACAAGGAGATCCCTGTGCCGATCCCTGTTCCACACCCTGAACCTGCACCGTGTCCTCAGGAGAAGCAGGAATGCAAGGAGATCCCAGTGCCAATCCCTGTTCCACACCCTGAACCTGCACCACATCCCCAGGAGAAGCAGGAGTGCAAGGAGATCCCTGTGCCCACCCCACACCCTCCAGAGAAGCAGGAGCACAGGGATACCCCTGTGCCAATCCCTGCTCCCTGCCCTGATTCAGGGAAGTCCTCCCATCCAGAGAAGTATCCTCCCATTGAGCAGCAGCAGGTGAAGCAGCCCAACCAGTGGCCACCCATGCAGAAGTAATCTGCAGCTGACAAGGGAAGCCCTGAAGAGAGGAGATTGCAAATCCAATCTTCCTCTCCCCATGTCTCACAACCAGAGGTCATTTTCCAACACCCTTTTATTCACTGCAGAATTTTTATTAAGAAGCACAGCTTCCAACTCCCCCCTCCCAGCTAACACTAGTGTTATCCCGTACTAACAGCCATAAGCTAACTGACATGTTGGGACTGGCAATAGATAAGGCTTCAAGTGGTGCTGCAGGCATGTGCGTTCAGCTTTTCAGGTGCCTGAATTTCTGCCCTCTCCCAGTCATCCCTCTGGCTTTTAAAGGCCCAGAAAGAGACCAAAGAGCATGACGGCACGCATGAGTCAGGGTCTATTAAGCTGAACAATAAACTTAACCCAAATGCAGTTAGGGACCTAGAGCTCATGCCTTCCTCCCCCAGCTCCCCATACATAAATGTCATCTCCCACCTTGCAGTTAGGGGTTTTTCCTATTAATAATAGGATTTGAGGTTTGTGTAGATCCTGCTGCTAAGGGGTTCTGGTAAATGGCAATGAGACTTTCTGAATCACAAATCCATAGTGCTGAATACTTTATGTAATCAAAAAAATAACACTGGGCTAGAGGAAATATTTTACAAAAGAGCCATCACCTCTTAATTATCTGCTTAGCTGAAGTATTTGTAATCAGTGCTTTCCTCAGAGAGCTCACCTTGGTTTATCCAGGATGTGTAAAAGAACAGTTTAACATGAGATTATTTATGGAAAACATAGATAATCAAATCCAATCCAGACATGTTTTGAAATAGATTAACTTCAGGCGTGGCTTTCATCTGTTAGACAGGATAAAGGAGGAAACATAGAGTGCTGTCTCAATTACACCCTGGAACATGTTTCACGACACAGTGCTGTTGTGTATGTATTTGGTACTTACCTCTAATTATTTTAGGCTGATATTGTATCCAGGATTAATTTCACTGTGACAATCAACAATAAAAAAATACTTTGAATACCAAGTCGTGGAGATTCTTCATCACTTTGCTTAAAAAAAATGAAAAGAAACCTCAGCTTGGAACAGAAATTTTTTAGGCTCAAAGCTGGGTAAATCAAGACTCAGAAACTTTGGTGCTTGCAGGGGACCCTGAGTCTGCTGCTCCTCTCCATGCACCAGGATTAGACAACCTGCAAGAGTTCCTGCATTGCGTCAGTCTATTGGGCTGGCTGATAACGCTGATCACTCCTCAGCAAGACACCACGTCCCAGAGCACAGCACATGACATCAGCTCACATCGAGCTGTCCCCACTTTCAGTCTGCCCAGTTCAAACATATTCCCAGCCACTATGTGACCTTCAGAACACATAAGGCAGGGTGCAAGCACAAGCCAAGAAGGTTTTCCCACACTTCAGATGAGCCAGGAGTGATGCAATCCCACTAGTTCGGCCCCGTACCTGTTAGATGAGTGTTAGACACATCCAATCTCATTGTCTGATCACAGAATCTCACTGAGTCACACAGCTGCTGGTTAGCAGAGCAAGCTTATGTCTGTCTGCCAGATATCATATCACTCAACAGTGTCTGTATTTATAGTTTTCCTCCTCTGCCATACAGCTGACTGGAAATCAATTAGCTGAGCCCGTATGTCCTCCTGAGAAGCTGAAACATTTCTGAATCTGCCTTCTTTTAAAATAGAAGCTATTCATTCTGAACAGGCAAAAACTTCCTTTCAGTGTCAAAAACTTCCAAAGACTCTTTTACTCTCAGCAGTTACAGTATAGTTTAGACTCTAAATCCACAGTTAATTGCTTTGATAGACCCACAAGAGCATACTTCAGAATATTATACAATAATTATTATGCTAGGATGCTGGAGACGGGCTCTGCATCAGTGACTGTAGTGATAGCACAAGGGGCAACGGGTTCAAAGGTAAACAGAGGAAGTTCAGAAAGCAGCTCAGCAGGAAAGGGCCCTGCATTTTAATGTGCATGTTGAATGTTAATGTTTAAAGGTAACTCTTTGGCTAATAAAAGAAAGCAAAAGAGAATGGATGACACCAGTAAAGTGAAAAAAAATATCAGGAAGCAAATAATGAGGTCACTTATAATTTTATTGCAGCATAACCAAATAAAGATCAGAAGAACGTAGCCCCACACTATTAGTTCTTTATATTAAAGGATGAATAAATCCAATTTAATGAACTGCATCACTTTGAAAAGTAATTTCTGCTTGCAAACAGAAGAGGTGTGCTGCAAATTTTTAGCTATTCTGGCAGAGCCAGCAGAAAAGAGAGCTTGGAAATAAGTATTTGTATCTTCCATAGCACTTTGAGGCCACTGCTGCTAGTGCTACTTCTGCTTTGGGCACTGCTGCTGCTGCTGCTGCTGCGGGATGCTCTTCACAGGACACTTGGTTTGCCCTTTTGGTGCTTGGGATTGCTCCACACACTTTGGAGGACACTTTTCCTGGCATTTTGAAGGTATCTGCTGCTGCTGTTTCTGCTGGTGGGAAGACATCTTTTCTAAACCTGGAAGAAAACCAAAATGCCATTTCTATTATTTTAAACCCTACACACTTCTTGTTCCTGGATATTAATTTCAGTCAGTTCTTTAGCTTTGAGATCAAATCAACAGTGAAGAATCTATATAGGTTAATAAAGGCAAACCCACACAACTGACCCCCAACCCCACTGTTGGAAATCCTTGAGGAGGATGCTGTTCAAACCAAATTCCTGTTGGTGACTCCAGTCTGCTGTAGCTGCCCCACAGTTTCTTTTTCTGCGCTCCTATTACAATTAGTCTCTATGGAGATCAGCCACACTGCTGAGGCATAACTGTACATAAGCATAAATGAGTAAGAGGCAAGCACCCTCTTAACAAAGTTGTGATCCAAACAGGTGTAGCCAAACAGGCTACAGAGGTGGATGGAAGAGAAACAATGACAGGGGTTTCCCTTCTTTCCCTCTGCTCACTGTTTTCTGAACACTTCAGCTGTGACAAGCTAAAAAGCAATACAAATTTTGATGAAAGCATGCTTAGTTCAAGGAGAACCTCAGAGCAATATTTAAAGCTCATCAAAGAGGAGCAGAAAGCTAGTGACGTTTAAGTATTGCAAATGGTTTTGAAAGGAAAAATGATTTGATAACAATCCCTTCCAGCAATGCCTTGTCTCTGCTTAGTTTATTGGCAGAAGCCCTGTCTCTGGCTGTTCAATGCCAGGGAACTGTCCTCCTCCTCAGTGATGATGCAGTTTTATACAAAGAAGTGAAACTCAGAGCCCAGGAGATCCAGGAGACTGCAGTGACCAACCCACGGCTGCTTGATGGGTACAAAATAAGCTGCTGGCAGATGCCATCCTTTAGTAGCTGATACTCAATGCCCAATGGTTATCCACAAGCATTCTTATCAGTTGGGAGAAAAAATTATGAGGGTTGACAAGGGCTTCCTGGTCTAAACAGTTAGCAAGCCATTGTCTAGAGCCTCAGAAAGTCTCAAAATAACATAACACAGCTTTCACCTGTATGGAGATGAAATTGTCAGGGAGAGGAACTGAAACAGTTACAAGACAAACAAAGAGAAATCACACTGTCTCCTGAGAACAGGGCATCATAAACCCCCACTTCTATAGCTAAATGTGCATAAGACTCACCTGATGTCTCCTGCTCTTAGAAGAAGAGAAGAAGAAGGCACTCAAGTTAACAAGCCTCCCAAATAGGAGGCTTTTATATGCTTCCAAAAGTCAGCCCCAGGAGCTGATGACAACAGATTAACTTGATGACCAGAATCTTTCACAACCAGAACTTGCTCCACTGACACCTCCATACACCTGGACTTCAGTCAAGGTCTGTGAGAGATGTTTCCTCTTTCAGGTGCGGGGGATTTGTTGTTTTTAATGTAAGGCACACCCAATCTGGTAATAACTGGCTAATTTATTAATAATTAATCTTCTCTCAACCCTGGGCAAAGATCCCACAAATGAAAACAGGTTTGAGAGATGTTCTGTGTTTGGCAGTCTGGGTTTCTGGGTTTTGCTCCCATTCTTCTCTATTTTCCTTCCTGAAAAGGGGAGTGAAACACTTGATATTGCCAAGAAATTAAGAAGCTTTCCCCTAATTTTTTTCTTGTGCATTCACATAGCTTTTCACTGAAGCAACTAGAACTTCTTTTTTTGTAAACACTGTGGCTTGCTGAAGTTGTGTCAGGATTTCTTTTCTCTGGGTTTCAGAAACATGTTGGTCCCCTTGAAACTTTTCCAAGGAAGGAACAGAGAGGATGTTTCAACTGAAATGATGTTTATAGTTCTAATGGAAAAAGTAGTTCAAGCCTCTCTTGACTATTCATCAATACTATGCCCTGTAGGATCATATTCGACCTAATGAATTACAGCCCAGTTTCCATTACATATGTGAGATACTTGGAGAGATGACGGACGTGGCTTCCACTGGGTGTAGGAGAGCAGAAGGTCTTAATGGAAAAAGGATCATCCCATATCTTAACATCCCTCACCCACCCCTGATTTACCAGGGGTCTTAATGACCCCCAAGATTGACATGGCACAAGTGTCACTAATTTGTTGTAAATACACAGGGGAATCTCAGCAATGCACAGAACTAACCACAGGTGCGTAGGAGAGCCATGTGTCAAGGCTTTTGCAACAGCTTTCCCACAGGCACAGGAAGCATGATGAGCATAAACCAACAGGTCTCTTCTGCCACTTCCTCTGGGGTTTTCAGCACCATGTGCTCCTGTCTGTGATTAGTGTGGCTGGTGCAATGCTCACAGCAGAGAGAGAAAGAAGAAAAAATTTAAATGACTAATGCAGCTGATAGAGATGGATGAAGATGCTTGGAATTCTGTCATAGATGACTAACCTATGGGACAGACCTCATTAGTAGTTGCATGTGACTTCCTGACTAAGACATTTTCCATGCCTGAAAGTGGACACTGACCCTACACATGTGGCAGCAGCAAGCAGTTATTAGCAAGGCAGTGTTCACTGCTGAATCCCCAACGGTTTGCATTCAAAAGTAGGAATTACATATGCATGTTCCTAGTCTCCACATCCATGCTGTTGAATATCTGGTCCACCTCCCCTTGTTTTGTCTATCTGAACTGAAAGGTGTGTTCAGGTGTAAAATGTTTGCTTTACTGAGTCATGTTTTTCTTATCATTATTCCTCTTTGATGGTGTCACCTTTTGGTGTTGACAGAAATAACACAGTAAGAAATCTACTGTAAAAATCTCTGCACCTGCACATAAGGTTTCATTAAAAGCTGATTTGGTAACAGTGTTTACACACTGCTAAATATAACCCTTTTCTTTTCTAGATTAGATATTCTCCACCCTTGCTATAATGATACGGTACGCGGATAGCAATTCTCTACATCCCAGACATGGAAATTGTGTGGCCATCACAGAGACAGAGGTAAGCAAGTCACATGCACAGTCCAGGAGACAATGAGAGCATTATCTCTGAAACTCAGCATTTAGATGGGTATAATGTCCCCCCAGACAATGGGCTTCCTTCTGTTTCAAAATTATTACTCCAAATAAAGAAGATGCATTTATAAGTGAATTAAAATATTACTGCACCTGCCAGGCATTAATGAACTGAATTAATGAACCAGAATGTCAACCAGTCTATCAGTCATGGATGTGACTTCTCCTCATTGCAGATGGTGAACAGATAGGGAGCAAGAGAGTGACCTGCCTAAAGCCATATAAAGTATCTGCAGCAAACTTGGGAAAAAATCCTGTGAACTTGCAAGACTTGGACCTGTTCCTGAACCACAAAAAGATTCATTTCCTGAAGCCAGATCCCCTACTTTCTATATTCAGTCAATGAAGAAGAATTAATCAAAAATACCACTTTCATTTCCAACAGAGTGCTTTTAAGAAATAATTCATACCTCAGCAAGAGCATTTTAACTCCTTCTTTCTTGGATTTGTGGCTTTCTTCCACTTAAATATACCTTCTAATGGTGTCTAATATTTTCCTCCAAAATCCAGAGATGCAAAGATCAAAATGTAATCATTAATACATGTGAAAATTTAATTTCTATCATTATTTTCACATGGGATAGAATTCTTCTGGTTTTGTATCTGTCAGAAAAGTATTGACCATATGATGTTTTGCCTACAGTGTTAAAAGACATTGCTCCACATTATAATGCATGCTTTCCCTGTTTACAGCACTGCATTGCAGGTACAAATTGTCCACAACCGTAGCAGTTTTTTAAAATGGAAACTGAAGGAAGATGTTCTTGGGCCCAATGACACTGAAACGAGGCGATGAAAGAAAGACATACGGCACATGATGCCATCAATGGTCAATTTTTATTGCTGCACATAGACAAGAGGACAAAGATTAAAAGACAAACTGAGAAATAAAGAACTGAAGGGGAAGCATCTTCCAACATCAACTGTTTACAGAACAGACCTTGCTAAATAACTTCCCAAGATGCCCAGCAGTATAATTATTGGCCAACTGCAGTTACCAAGAAAGAAGTTGCTGAGATAGCAGTAGCAGAAGTATCATAGCAAGCAAAGGGTGGAAACATTCAGACAAATGTTTTCCAAGACAAAGAGAGCATGGGGTAAACAGATCAGGAGAAGTCTCAGTATGTTGCAGATGGGTCTATAACGTGGTTTTCGTTCCATGGATGCTTGTGAGCCTATGGATATTGCAATGCACTGAAGCACCAGGGCCGCAGGCTAGGCTCATGTGTTAAGGTGATCAGCACGGCCGAGAGCAGACAGTGCTACATGGCTCCAGGCACACCGTCTCACATGAATCAACACACTTGGTGGTACACACCTCCACGCATGGGGGTGGGCAGGGCTCCACACACTTGCTGCAGCACTGGGTGGCACAAGGCTCCACACACTGAGTGGTGCACTGAGTGGCACACGGCTTTACACAGACATCAATGCACTTAGGGGGGCAGACCTCCACACACTGGGTGCTGCAGGGCTCCACGCAGGTGGTGGTGCACTGGGTGGGACATGGCTCCACACACTGGGAGGTGCAGGATGTGGTGCACTGGGTGGCACAAGGCTCCACACACTGGGTGCTGCAGGTGGTGGTGCACTGGGTGGGACATGGGTCCACACACTGGGTGGTGCAGGACGTGGTGCACTGGGTGGCACAGGGCGTTGTGCAGACCTCCACGCATGGGGTAGGACATGGCTTCACACAGATGCTGTCACAGGGCTCCACACACACCGTCTTGCAGGGCTCCACACACTTGCTGCATTTCTGCAGACAAATGGGAGGGGGCAGGCAGGGCTGTTTGCACTGCTCGTAGTAAGACATGCTTCTGAGGTGCTGATAAAGCTGAAGACAAAGAAAAGAGATACAAAATCAGGGCACTCATCCTTTCTTCTTGAGCCACAATTCACAATCTGAACTCTTGCAGCATACATAAAAGTTAGATGTTGGACTAAGAAAAGAGCTCTCAGGAAAAATTACATGTCTGAACGATTTCTGGATTCAGACATATTCAACTACAACTGCCACATTATTCCTTCTTTTCTTGGGAACCTGCAAGTACCACTGTTAGGAAGACTACAGCCATAAACCCTGAATTTTATATAACTGCCCACAGTTAAACTTTGCAGAAGCCATAACATGAAAATAGTTCATGTCTTTATTTTCTTAGTTGTATCAGCAGACATTCCCAGGCCCAACTCTTTCATCGTCAGTTCCTCACAGAGCACATCTCCCTTGGTGTAGGTATTGAGCTGCTAATGCCCAAAGATAAAGACCAAAGATCAAAAATTCAGGCACTACTCGAAATCCTCCAGTTGTATATCATTGGAGTACATCACTGTACTATCGTCATGGTATATCATCATGGTACGTCACTGGAGTTGTATCAATATTAATGGGCTCATCCTTTCATAAGAAAAGGGTTAGCCCAGAGCTTACAGCTCCTATTTCTAATTCATTTCCTCATCTTGACTTGTCCCAGATGGCTCCTGCAGCTTTGCCCTCAGGTATTCTGCAGCTTCCTTCTTCCAGATAATGCTTCTTCCCACTCATCTCTTTGAAGTCCCAAAACTACTCTGCAGCATCTACTAATCTATTTAATTTCCAGTCTTAAAGCCATATGAAAAAAATTAATGAAGATAGAATAAGTAGGAAGATGAGAAGCAGTCACAGCTTCTGAGGAGGTGACAGGACATTTGCAAGATACTTAAGCAATAGTCAAACACCCTCTCCCACATTCCGCGATAAATCCTGGGACTGAAACACCAGAAACAAAGCTCTCCTGTGATCAGTAATAAATTCTCTTGACCAGAACAATCAAGTAACACAGCCATTGCATTATTCCCTGATAAATCCAAGAAAGACTTACCGGTCCACCAGTGCAGGTGAGTGAGTGAGAAATCAAACGAACTGCTGTGAGCATCAAAATGCAAACCTTTTTATATGGCTTGCATGGCGTCATCTCCGGAAACAAGGGAGCCCAGGGGTATGGACACCTGACCACTAACTACATCAACAGGCTCCACCTATACATGCTTTACATATTTGTTTGCATCCTAATTTTTGATGGAAACCCTCTTCCAGGAAAAGCATATGATCTTGAGTAAATTCTGCTTCTACCCAAACCCTGTGTCATGTGGTTCTAAATGAGAATGATAGAGTAATTAAAAAAATCAAGTGATGGATTGATTGCTCTTCAGAAAAGATTTAATATGCTTGGATATTTTCATCTCCTTATTTCCATAAATGTCTGGATGATACTTTAGATTGTTTTCAATGCAGTATGAATAGAAAGTTATTATTAGGGAAGATGGAAGATCTGATTTACTATGAGAAATAGCATGTCCTAATTCTTATGGTAAGAAGCAGCTAATCCTGCAGTGGCCCTCAGAGCTTCCACAGACTGTTGAAGTATCTGTTTCTGTAATAATTTTTTAATCATTAAATGCACCCAACCAATCCCTCTCCACACTCTTATTAACAACATGCATGCTCGGCAATGTCAATGGGGACACACCTCTAGTTACCTTGAGGACCTCTTCAAGCCATTCAGGGCAAAGTAAAGGGGCATTCATTTTAAAGGCTTTTTTTCACTGCCAGAGCAGTGTAAAGAGCTTCAATTTAAGTGGCATTTAGGCCCAGGACTTTGAGTTAGCATATTGAAGCTCTTTGCTATTCATAACTCAGCTCTGCAGCACAGAAAACATGCGTGAATGCATCTAATCGACCCTGCAGATTTTAAAACAAAACAAGAGCAACTAGCTCAGATTTAGGTGTGTAATAATTTAATAGATTCATCTCTTCCCATATTTTCCTCCTAGAGTTGACCCTGCTGAGTGATGCTGAGCAAGCAATTGTCCTCCAGCACTTTTAGGTCTACCCACATCAGCATCCTCCAACACTTATCTTGCTGATGAGTTTCTCATAGTCTGGTTTGTACAGTTCTTCATGCTTTCCTAGGGCTCCAGGCTCACCTCTAAAACCTAGGTGAGGACCGGTCCTACGTCTCCCTTTCCATAGTGGGTTATTTTATAACCTATTGTTATCTTTGATTAGCAAGAAATTGTAACAACTTCTGAGAGAAATAGACATTTTAGGGGATATAAATTGATCTGCCTTTGTAATATGTGGGGACATGAGAGGGCTGGATTATTATTCTTAATTGACACTTATTTGTGGGTCTCATATATATGAGCAATTTAGTCATTTGAATAGTCACCTTAACTGCAGTGAGTCAGGACATCACAGCAACATCCTTTCCTGTCCATTTGCCTTTGGCAAAAGAGCTGAAGTGATTTTCCACATCTGACACTTCTGGGATCTATTCAATTAAATGGCACGTGTTAAGGTCTCTGGCAGAACCACAGGCTGGTATGAAGGGTTATGCTTTGATAAAAAGAGCACGAAAGATTGCAAACCTGAAACTCCAGGAGGTTCCTGGAGCCCAGGAGGAGACAGACTCCCCTACCTGGAGGTCTGTGTGATGCTGCAGAAGAGGAGCCCACTGACCATTGTATTCTGGTACTCAGGACAATATTTCTGAAAAACTCAGTAAAGAAGAACATGGTCAACACTTTTGGATTTAAATAATCAGGGAGACTTCATATTTCACCACAAAGAGCTACTAAAGATGGAGGCTCATCAAGACTAAAGCCATTTTCCTACAGCTATAAAAATCTTCCCTGCGGACATGAAACACTGAATAATTAAGCAGATGAGAGTGTTAACATAAATACAAAACTTCAGGATGTGCAGATGTTATGATTTTTGATAGAAACATCTCAAACTGATATATTTCCCTTGCAGCTGTTTAGATATGCACCATTTTAAACTGTTCAGCTGGATTTCTACCAAGAAAAAAAGCCCCCTATTATCAACCACAGAAGACTTTTCTTTTAAAAATGTCATACTTCTGGATTCATTGCTTTACCTAAAAACCTCCTAAATAAACTTCTTATTTTTTCATAGAAATCAAGAGATTCACAGCATGGTAAGACCTTCCCAGCCCACTCTCCTGCGTGTTATTGTATTTCAATCTCAAAGCCTGTAGCTGTATTACAACTGACTTTCACTTCTCATCATTCCCTACCACAACTACCTGGGGAAGGCGTGAGGGTGTGATCCAGCTCTGAGGGCAGCTTCCAGGTGGGGCAAGTCTCCAAGACTGATGGTCCATCCCTTTCCTTTGGAAACATTTGCATAGCTGAGATGCCAGGAGCCTGAACATAGAATGCAATTAGCCTCCCATGAAAACAAGTGGCTTGACTAGTCCATGCCTTAGGGACTATTTGATTGAGTAATAAGATCATTACTTTGGGGGCTGAGAGGAACCCAAATACGGCACTATCCACCTCTTTTCCTGTTTATTTGGAAGGTGAGTTCTCCATAAAGAATGATAAGTGAGCATCTGAATCCAGTTAATCTGGACAAGAGAAACTAGCTATGAAAATAACTTAACAGTTTTATCTATTTCCTTTTAAATATTGCAGATATTTCCTTGTATTTTCAAATAGTTTAGAATCTTAGTGTTTCTTAGAATTTTTTAGATACCTGAATAAAACTGTGTCCTGATCTCTGAGGAATACCTTTCAGAGCTCAGAGCACATTGTCTGACTGAACGAGGAGTGTAGGTCTATGAAATTTGATTATGCTGAACAGCAATTTTCTATCTCCCTTTTACAACACTCCTGTGTCCAGGGAGGAAGGCTCTCTCTTTCTCTCCGTATCGCACAAGCTTGTGATTTGTGTGAGGTAGGGTCTCCCCAAGCCACGTGCAATATCATGCAATATCATTGGGTACGATTTATAATGACGCACTAATGTTCAGATTCCTCTATGAGAAGAAGTGAGAAAGTGATAATTGCAGGTTAGTCACCAGAAACGTGCCCTGGGGCATCTTGAAAGAAGAAACCAGTGCATGCTCCCAGAGAAAGCTGTCACCGCATCAGCTCCTTCAGCAGCTGGGCTGGCTTGACCCACAGTCTGCCTCCGCATCTCACATGCCTTCAGCAGCTGTTGCTCATTCAATTCATACTCTGCACCACCTCTGCTCTGGACCTGCGGAGCACTGCAATTGGCAGGCATGACTGGGTGACATAGACCGCAGAGGACTTTACTTCTGGAGAGCAAATTCCAAACAAAAGAGATGCTAAGGAAGAAGAACTGAGATCCTATAAGCAGATGTTCATGGAGGTTTGATATGATTCTCCAATATGCCTTGTTAAAACTACTGACACTGTGGCAGAATTAAGCAGGGAGTGATCCAGTTCTGTGGGCAGGTTACAGGTAGGGCAGGTCTCCAGACTGATGGTCCATCCCTCCCCTTTAGAAACCTATGCATAGCTGAAAGGCCAGGAGGCCAAATGCAGAAGCCTATGAGGATCCCAGGAAAACAAGTAGCTTACCTACTCCACGCCCTAGGGACTAGTTGATCGAGTAATGAGATTGTTATTTCCAGGCCTGAAAGGAACCCAAATACGGCACTAGCCACCTCTTTCCTCTTTACTCCTGAAGGTGAGTGCTTCATGAAGAATGAAGCTTCTAAGAAGCACTTTGGGAAATGCTTTCGTCTTTCCGAGTCCTTTCAAAAGCATGGCAGAGAAGGGCTTCCTCGTGCCATAGAGCATACCCCTCTCCCAGCTGTCATATGGCATATCCCAGATGAGTCCCAAATCTCTCCCAAGGTTATTGCCTTGCACCTTGCCGTAAGTGCGACCAGAAGCTACCACCTCACAGGCACCAGGGATTTCAGAAGATATTCAATGAGAAAGGGTGAGTCTGCAGAAAGGCCACAGTGAAGGAAACACATGCAGACAGCTGTTGTC